CGCTCCTAACGATTCAGCCTTGGGAGCAGTACATGCCTTTTGAGTAGAGAAGTCCTCCAACGTGAAATCAACTTCACTTTCAAGCGGAGTGACGCGGACCTCTGCCTTCAGCCCCTTCAGATTTGCCTTTAGCCTTTAGTTGTTCGTAATTGGTGGTTGCTCAAAAGTTGGCGTGATTTGCCGTGCTAAACGAGCGCTGGATCATTGGACACGACTGAAGCTGAAGCTTTTGAATCGGGCGGCCCCTCGCGTCATCTGGTCAGTAAGATTGAATGAATAAATGGGTAAAATATGTGTACGCTGCAAGTGCCTATAAACCAACCTTGCAATGAATTCCTTAACCCACGCTAAAATAAAACTGACGCATACTAGAGGCTTTTTGAATGCATACAAATACAAGTTTATCGGGCCAAGCAGCGTAACCACGAATCGCTTGACGGAGGCGTCTTTTCCGGGTCTGCACTGCACGTACCGCACGCACTGCCTCGCACCGAACGGCCGAACGAATCGACACGTAAATGAAGATCAATGATAAACATTGCCGGTATGAAGAAAGTGAAACAGTTGAAGTAGAAGCTTCTGCTTCTGGGCAGTGGCAGGCGCGACTTATCCAAAATAAATATAATGTATTGATTTGGCTCTGGGGAGCCGCGGCACCGCGGAAAGGCAACAGCCTGTACCATGGAGGCCCATGGTGCCGCGTCCAATGAACATGATAATGCGATGAGTATATACATACAAGAGGACGACGAGATGAACTGTAGTTAATGCAGAGGATGTCCGCCCGATTTGCAGATGTCCAGATTTTATTGAGACGCGTCAGCAGCGGGCCAAGGGGATCTTCAGCCTGCCGTTCGATCGGGGTATGTTGCACAAAGGAACCCCAGGAGCATGGTGGTGATGTTTCTCACTGGGTTCGAAGCATCAGGTTCCAAGGGGGTAGCGCAGTCAAAGTACAAAGCTGCCGCCTCCGAGGTACCGACGCCCAGGGCTCAGGTTGAGACACCGCCGTCATCTGGTGTGGCATCCTCAACGTCGTCGCCGTCGTTCAAATAAAGGGATACTACAACGAAATTTGGGTGCTTTATTTTTTGGTCTGTACATGTTTAAAGGAGGACACGAAAAGGAAAAAAAAACACCTGGTGGATGTCGCTGAAGCCTCCTTCGTAATGCCCCTCTAGGAACCTTGGCAGGTAGTAACGATCACTGTCTCTGAGTATTGCGGATTCTTGGGCGAGTAGGTACTGAAACTTGGAGAACATAATAGCGCTTCACGACAGGGACGAAGATTTGTGTTGTCTCGTTCATACTCTTCGTCCCTGTCGTGAAGCGCTATTAGGTTCTCAAAATCACTGTCTCGCCTAGAACTATACATGCTTTGAACCTGACAAGGCCCCGGCAGCTCTACGACCAGCACAGGAGAAGATGAGAGAGAAATTCCCCACTCAGCCGGGCTCTTTTTTGTGTGTCCCAGGCGTCGCTATTCTCCCTCTACAAAATTATAGAATGCCCGCCACTCGAAACTCACACAAAATCAGCTTTGCGGTCAGTTGCGGTGGCCCGATCACTGGCGTGCTTCGACCGCTTCGGCGGCAGAAACGGCTAGGGCATCCAGACAACGTCTGTCTCGCCGCAGCTTCGCTCATCCCGAGTCAGACTCCTCACGATTGCGCCGGATGTGACGTGCTCTACGCTGGCTGCTCTCCAAGCGCTTGACAAAGTCCACCATTTATAACAAAAAATACAGCCATCAGGCTAAATATACAAACGTGCGATTGTCATTTAAGGATATTGTGGATCACAATCAGCCTATATCAGAACCAGGACCCACTCTATAAAGGGGCGACCAGCTCACCTTCTCCTGCCCCAGCGCGCCTCTTTTTGCTTTGCTTGTTCGGTTCTTTTTTTAGTTCGCCTAGTTCCCACCGCTCCCGCTGGCGCTGCTTAGAATCTCAACTTTCCCCGCTGCGTAGGACGCTCGTGAAGCGTGGGGAGGCTAGCGCAGGCTCTCTTTTGGCAGGTGTGCGTGTGCACGAATGGTTTTTCTGGCTGTAAAATAGCTCAACGTTAATGGTGAAGTGGCACTCTTCGACTGGCTGTGATGGTTTACTGCTGTGTGCCGCTGTGCTAGTCGAGCACGCGGGCTTCGACGGGAATCGCCTTCCACGAGTTCCCGGTAACGGAGATCCGGAACGACTGGCTGAAGAAGATCTCTCGCCAAGCCGAAGGTGAATCAGTTACCCACCAAAGCTATGTAGCATAAAGAGAAAATATGTTTTCTTCATGCTCATAGCACAAAATGAGTCGTGGTACGTATATGTTTACAGCGTCAGCCTTTACACGCCGTGTCGCGAATGTTGTACGTTGTACCTCCCTCATTTTGAGCGTTTAGTTGACTATGCACTGATGCTGATATATCTACATACAGGATCAGCCGTCATTCATCGGAAGGAATAGAGTTCGCGTGTTAATACTCCGAGCTCGCGAATTTCAGATGACGCGGAACTTGCTGAGGGGGTGTATATTTTAATTATGAGCATGCGACTAGACGGCTCCTACTCCGTACGGGGTAAGAGCCGTCCTGTCGCACTGGGGTCAGGATGGTCAGGAACGCCCTGTGGCGTTTGCTTCTCGCCGGCTTCATGCAGCCGAGGAACGCTACAGCCGGCTGGACAAGGAAGGCCTGGCGCTCATGTTCGGAATCGAGCGCTTCCACCAGTACCTGTGGGGCCGGAAATTCGAGGCAGTAACGGACCACAAGCCGCTGCTGGGGCTGCTGGGGCCTGACAAGGCGGTTCCAGTGCAAACCTCGCCTCGTGTGGTACGCTGGGCCCTGACGCTGACGGCCTACAGCTATAAGCTGGTCTACCGCCCTGAGCCGCCTGCCCCTGCCGGAGGTGCCTGCTGCCGTTCCAGAGCCAGCTGAAGTTTTCCTGCTGGAGCGGGCACACTCTGGGGTACTCACCAGGACTGCGGTGGCGCAGGCGAATACGCCACCGCAGTCACCTGCGGTGGTCAAAGCGGTGTCCTGAGGAAAGGAGCTGCGTCACCAGACGTACAGCCACAAGACCGCCGAGCTGAGCTTGAAGCAGGACCGCCTGCTGTGGGGTTCCAGGGTGGTGATTCCACAAAGTCAACGGGGGAAGGTTCCTGCAGTTGCTGCATGCGGGGCACCCTTGCGTGGAAAAGACCAAGATGGTGGCACGGTCGCACGTTAGGTGGCCTGGCCTGGACCAGGACATCGCGCACCGGGTGCAAGGCTGCCAGTTCTGCCAAGAGAATCAGCGAGGCTCGCGCCACGTGGAAATCACCCCCTGGCCGTTCCCACAGAGGCCCTGGTCCCGCCTGCATGTGGACTTTGCGGGACCCTTTAAGGGCCACTACTCCCTAGCAGTAGTGGACGCGTTTTTTAAGTGGGTGAAGGTACTGCCAGTCACCACTCCAGAGCAAGCGCGACCATTGCGGCGCTGCGGCAGGTCCTCGCGGCGCATGGATTGTCCCACTTTCGCTAGCGCCGAGTACCTGGACTGGCTGCAAAGGAATGGGGTCCGCCGGATGCTGCTTCCGTCGTACCACCCCGCTTCCAATGGTGCAGCCGAGCGGGTGGTACAGACTATCAAGAACAAGCTCAAGAAGAGCCAGCTTGGGGATTTCCGGACGCAGGTGGCCCGGGTACTGTTCCAGTACCGGACCACACCCCAGAAGGTCACTGGCCATGCCCCCTGCGAGCTTCTGCTGGGCCGGACGGTCAAGACACCCTTGGACGTATTGCATCCTGACCTCCGGTCCACGGCGCTCCTGAAGCAGCTGAAGCAGAAGCTGACTGCTGAGGGAGGGTGCCGTCCCGGGACTTTGCCGGAGCCGGGAGCGTCGGTCTATGCCAGGAACTTCCGTCCTGGCACCCTGGTCTGTCGGACATGTGGTTTCTCCAGCGAGTGCCTCGTCGCTACTCGTCCGCATTCCCGACGGGACCACCTGGCACCGGCATGCCGACCATGTCAGGCCTCGCTTCAGGAATGGGCTTGCACCTTCGTCTTCGGCGTCGCTTCGGAGGACCAGCCCGCAAGAGGACCAACGACAGCACCAGTCGCGGCCAGTGGAGCGCCACCCACCACGGCAGTTGGACCGGTGCCACTTACAAATTTGGTCCCTGCTGCTTCACCGGATGGAGCACGACCAGTTCAGGCAGCGCCCGGCGTTACCACACCTGGCCCGTCGACACCAGTGACCAGGCAGAGTACGCGGCAGCGAAGGCCACCTGACCGTTACTCGCTGGGGTAACCTTCGCCGTCGACTGGCCAGGACTTGGCAAGACCAGACGCAAATTGGTGTCGGCCGTGTGCATTGTTTATTTGTTAATTTTGTTTTTTTAAAACAAACTGGGGGGGAGGGATGTAACCAGTAGGTAGCACCCCCTCCAGTCTACCTGTCTGTGGCCGCCAGGCTCGGCGGGTAACATTGGTCACCGCACCAATAAACACCGTGGAGCGTACGCCGCCCCGGTCAGTCATCGTCAACCCTCACAACCAGGCTGCGTGTCTTTTCTTCTCGGCGGGTGCTTCGGCCCCCTTCGTCCACATTCTAGAAGGATCGTGACAGTTCGTATATCTGATGCGCGAACCATACTCATATTAGTCAGTTTGTCTGACGATAATTTTTTGGTGGCTCCGAGGCGAGAGCGCTGGCCTACGGATTGCGGCAGGTTCGAATCCCGGCCGAGGTAACCGCAATCTGATGGAGGCTTATTGCGGAGGAGGCGAAACCGAGCTTTCGGTTGCACGTCAAAAGATCCCCAGGTGGTCCAAATTAATCCTCAGTCCTCCGCTGGGGCGTGCCAGATGCCCGTCGTAGGTTTGGCACGTAAAACCCCCAAATTTGACTTTAAATGATAATTTTATTGTACATACAAATAAAATTTTGACTTGATTGTATTGTTCACAACTGCGTGGTTTTCAGCCGATTTACTTGCGCGGTAAGTTGCAATTTCCAAATGTTTCCAGGCCTAGGAAAACAGCCATGGATTCCGAGTGACAGGAGCAAAGTGTGCAGCCTTCATTTCAAGTCGGGAGACTATAGAGACGGCCTGCAAAGACGGAGGTTGAAAACAGATGCTATACCATCGATCCCTGACTACCCAGCTTATTTGCAAGCAGCGCCTACAAAGGAGCGACAAACATTAAAGCGTAGAGCCGTGGCACCAGTTTCTACTCTGACCCATCAGGAAACCAAGAAAAGGTGAATGCACTATCTATTGCAGATTGGTGTTCATCAGATTTCTCTTCTTCCTGGCTCTGAAGTGCAGAATTGTGCACTTGGAGCCTAGTGGTTAATATCTTTTTTTTAGCTCTTACCTATTAACAACACTGACTTTTTTCAGGTTGGATTGCTCTAGAGCTGCTGGTTCTGGCGTTGATACCACAGCTGCGATGGTGTCTGTCACAACGGCTTTAGGGCAGCTTCCACCTACGCTGCTGAACCCGGGGACTGTGCCAAAGTCATCTCCCGAGCCCACCACAGAGCCCGTGACCAAGTCCTCCCCGGAACCCACTGTGGAGCCCTTGGAGTCCCCCTGTTTGGAGCCTATGCTGAACCCCGGGCCTGTGCCAAAGCCATCTCCTGAGCCCATCACAGAGCTTCTCACCAAGTCCTCGCCGGAGCTCACAGTGGAACCTTTGGAGTCCTCCTGTTTGGAACCTATGCTGAACCTCGGGCCTGTGCCAAAGCCGCCCCTCGAGCCTTCCCCACAGCCCACCATGAAGCCTGCTCCCGTGCGAGCTAGGGCAGTGAAAGCACATGGGACTCAGACGAGGCTTTCAAATCCACGCCTCACGAGGCTCCTGAAGCAAGTGAAAACCGTCACAAGAAAATTCAAGAGGCTGCTGAAGAAAAGAGACGAGCTACAACAGATGGTTTCCGTTTTGCGAAAGCAGGCAATGAAGACGGAGGCTGTGATGAAACAGGGAAACTTCTTGCTCTTGCTGGTATGTGCAGTATTTTGATATAGAAACCAAACCACTTATAAAAGCCAAGGAACCTTCTAACAGATGTAACTCATTTAGGAAAAGATCGACGCCAACGACCCAAAGGCCCTCTTCCTTCAAGAACAGCTGACCTTCTTGGGTGCCCCGAAAAGCCACTGGCGTGAGGAGACGCTCCGCAACTGCGTGCTGTGGCATGCTAAGTCTCCGTGTGACTACCGCCTTCTCCGCGAGACTGGCGTCCTTTCGCTTCCCAGTCGTTTCACACTGAAACGCTACATCGGTGCGTGTACTGGAGAGGTTGTATCCTGCCTAATCAAACAGCGACTACATGCGGAGGCTAAACTGCATTCCGGACAGGTGTGACAATTTTGTTTATAATTTCTTGAATTACATTTTACAATGTCAAATCATTCTCACGATATAGTCGGTGTTTTATATGCCATAATCTTCATCAGACCAGTGTTTTCATTTCATATGAATTTGAATTTTGGGGGTTTAAATTGCTTTCATAATATAATGTTTTGTTTCATCACCTGAAAGGGCTCTGTAATAGAAAATGGTAGAGGCACTCAACACAAAAGCAACAATGATAAGTCCTATTGCCACTGCTTATAGGATCGCATCTGTATTGTGATGTCAATTTTCCTAGGCACTCAATGGGTCCCTGATGATGGATGAGATGTCGCTCAAGCAGGCGACAACCTACCAGAAACAGTCTGACACTGTCCATGGTCTGGTCGATCTGGGGGGTGCCGAGTCCGACTTCGGCCTCCAGGATCACCCTGCAACCCACCTACTTTGCTTTGCTTTTGTTGGATTGTCCACCCACTACAGGTGCTTACTACAAGTTGCACCAGAAAATTATTATTCGTTCAAAAAACTACATGTATAAAAGCGGTGTCGGGTCTTTTTATATCGAAGAACTTTTCTTCCTCTTGCAAGTTGCCAGTGGGCTACTACTTTACAAAGGCACTGACTGGAGAGCAGCTCCAACTGCTGGCATTAAAGGTGATGGCATCCATCAAAGAAGCTGGATTTCGGGTTGTTCGACTGGTTGGCGACAACCACAGCTCGAATTGCAAGGTTTTCTCTAACCTGTCAGGAGGCAGTATAGTGCCTGTTGTGGCGTGAGTACAAGGAGCTGTCAGATTTAGGAGGTGCAGAAAGATCAGTGATTTTACCGTTTGCACCCATATAACATAATTCTATAGAATTTTGTTTGCTAGATACTGATAACCATGAACACAACAATCTTTTTCCAGTCACCTTCTGGATGAAGCCAGAGAGTTGTACCTCTCCTTCGACTACTGCCACGTCATGAAAAATGTGGGGTCTCAGTTTCTGGAGGCCAAAAGGATCTTCCGTAAAAATGAAACACTGATCCTTCCTGACTACCTGAGGTAAAATAAGTGCCTGTTCTAATAATCTTCCCAAGTATATTAGCTTATACTTTTGTTATGCTAAATCGTAATGCAGGAGGCTGTACGACCTCCAGCAACGCCAAGGAGCCTTCAAGATGATAAGGTGCCTCACAAAGAAGCATCTGTGGCCCTCCAACTTTGATAAAATGAATGTTGGGAGAGCAGTCGACATCTTCTCGCCTGGGGTGAGAGAAATTATGACCTTTTATGCGCAAATAAGTCCGGAGTAGTTCAACCAAAAAAAAGAATGTGTGAATTGTCAATATTCTGTTGTCATTTTCAGGTGACCTCTGTCCTGCGGTTCCTGCAGCAGCACGGCCAGCGACTTGGTGCTCCAGGTTTCGAGGGTTGCCTTCCACCGTGGAGTTTATAGAACTCGTGTATTGGTGGTTTGTCCTCCACAACCTCAAGAGCACGACAGTGCATGTCACCAGCCGGGATGCCATGAGGATGCCCTTCTGGAGTCCAGACGACGAGAAGTAAACTATAAATATTTAGCAGCCAATAATTCAGTGCACGAACACAAACACTCTGGCAGTGTGTTTACGTTCGTGGAAGAGCAGGCCTGTGATGACAAAACGATGGGATCCTGGTTTGGGACAACGAACCCGATATCTCACATCTGTGTGTCTTCGTTTACTACAGGAATGCCACTACACTAGTGTGAATACTGGCACCCGGCATACACTGCGGAGAAATTTGTGTCTTTCATTCTTGGTCTTTATCCTCGTTTTTCGGGCTTTCCTGGCTGCAAAGCGACTGCCTGGCCTCGTGGAAGGCGAGCACAACTCACAAGATGGAGTTCCTCTCCGCTGAGACATACGAGGCCTTGAGGGTGACGACCACGTCTACTGTGCTTTGCACACGCCATCCTCTGAACTCCGGGTTCCATTTCGTACTTACTTCGAAGTACTCTAGTGATGATGTAGAGTCGCTTTTTTCCACAATCCGTCAGCTGAACGGATCAAATGACCAGACAGATGCGTACTCAGCTCTGTCCGCACTTCAGAAGATCTTGATGACAGGGATTCTTCACTCGTCGACCAGCGCCAATGTGGGAAGTGTGGTGGACCCATTGGGACGCGCGTCAAAGCTTCCTCCCCTCCCGGTGGAACAGCCAACTACCTGCCAGGACCTTGGCAAGCTGCTGCTCCCTCACCTTGCTGTATTGGAACGATACCCCTGTATGCTATATTCCTATATATTGCTCCTCTGTGCTTGTATTCTTATTCTTCCTGCGAGACTGCTATGCTGTCATAGAATGACTAGATATCGCTCTAGCACGACATTTTGCTTTGCCATGCTTTTGTTCTTATTCTTGCAAAGAGACTGCTATGCTGCTATAGAATGAGCACATATGTCACTTCATTCTAACCGTTGAAAACTATTTTCTAGGTCCTCCCCAAAAGAGCTTGAAAGCAAGCACTCTCGCCCTGATTGCTGGATTCCTCGTTAGAGCTGTTCAGGACAGGAATCAGTGCGAGGGTTGCTTGCTTAAGCTCCAAGCCCCGCACTCGTGCTCACCGACGACCGCCCTGATAGCAGGGATAGACAGGGGAGGGCTGTCATACCCTACGCTGGCATTCATAGGATTCGTCTGCCATATCGAGAGGGCTGCAACTGGTGCTGCTACGGTGCTGGCGAGGCGGCCGAAGGCACTAAAGACTTTCACTAGTGCAGTTCTGCCTGCTCTCATGAAGAATCCCTTCTTTGAGTGCCCCCAGGACACTTCTGTTGCGCACAAGAGAGCCCTAGTCAGCCTCCTCCTCACCAAATTTATGAGGCCATTCTTGGCAAACCTCACGAACGGCATGACCGAGGCCCATGCCAAGAGGAAATTGCTTAAAAAAAAGCCAATGTCGAGGAAAGTCCTAAAAATCTGAACATGGTAGTGAACTTGTGGAGAAGTCATTCATTTTAGAGCGCAGCTCTTAGGGGCCCGTTCCCGGCTTGAGCGGCGTCGGCGTCGCCGTCGGCGTCGGCGTAACCAAGGTCGCCCCAAGGTCACGCGACCCCCAAGGTCATCCCAAGGTCACGTGACCCCTGGAGGTCACGTGAGCCCTCTCCCAGGGTCACGTGACCCCCAAGGTCACGTGACACCCAAAGTCACGTGACCCCCGGAGGTCACGTGACCCCCCTCCGAGGTCATGTGACCACCCCCAGGGTCACGTGACCCCCGCCGAGGTCACGTGACCTCCCCGATGACGTCACCGGCATTCGCATCTTTATTCTTTATTCAGGTAGCTCCTGCAGCGTCGTTGAGGCATTATTGCAGGGGGCGAACAACATAGAAAAAAAACATTTCTGCATTTGCGGCACAAACAGTTTCAACACTTAAATTGTTCCAATCCCTAATAGTCCTAACAAAGAAAGAATTTTTGCACAGTTCCGTCCTGGTGGAATATTCGCGTATTTTGTGGATATGATCTTTACGTTGGGAAATATAGTAAGGGGGTAGAAGGTAATGAAAACCGTTAATACCAGTGTGTTTATTATAAATGCTATATAGAAATTTTAAGCGCAAATTTTTCCGCCTGAATGTCAGCAAATCCCAGCCTAATGTACTCTTCATGTCCGTGACGCTCGAAAAGCGGTCGTACAGCCCCAGGACGAAGCGTGCCGCACGATTTTGGATCCTCTCTAAAGCGTCTATGTGATTTTGCTGAGCAGGATCCCACACAGTGCAAGCATAATCAGTAAGAGGTCGAACGTAGGTAAGGTATGCAAGTTCTTTTATTTTTTGTGTAGACCTTTTTAGATTACGCTGGATAAAACCGAGTGCCCGTCCCGCCCTCATGACGACATCGTCAATTTGCGCATTCCACTTGCAGTCTGCTAATAAGGTCACCCCCAGATACTTTACTTTACCGTCACTTTTTAGTGGTTCATTATTTAAATAATACTGAGTGTGAAGTTCTTTTTTTTTGCGGGTGAAGGTGACATGTACACATTTGCTGACGTTTAACTGCAATTTTGATAGACTGCACCAGAGTTCAATTTGATCCAAATCAGCCTGCAGTTGTGTGGAATCCTCATCGTTTTTTATACATCTATATACAACACAATCGTCAGCAAACAATCTTAGCTGAGAGGTCACGCCAACGTGAATATCATTTATAAATATTAAGAACAGCAAAGGTCCAAGTACCGACCCCTGTGGCACGCCAGAGGTAACTTCAACAAAATCTGATGTTTCACCATCTAGAACCGTACATTGCCGACGCGAACACAAATATGCCTGTATCCAATTATGTACCGAAGTATCTAGATTCAAAAGTGCCAATTTTTGGATTAAGAGGGAATGCGATACTGTATCAAACGCTTTTCTAAAATCGAGAAACACACAATCAATTTGCTCACCCCTATCAACGGTAGTTACAAGATCATGATAAAATTCAGTGAGTTGTGTAGTACAAGAATAACCCTTTCTAAATCCATGTTGATAATCAATAAAAAAGTTCTGAAACGTGAGATGTTGCATTATCTGGGAATATCGTCATCGTCATCACTGATGACGTCATCAGTGACGTCACTGGTGACCTCATCGGCATCCGCATCGTCACCGTCATCATCACTGATGACGTCATCATCACGGATTACGTCATCAGTGACGTCCCTGATGACGTCACCGACATCCGCATCATCATCGTCATCATAGCTGATGACGTCATCGGAGTCCGCCTCGTCATCGTCACTGATGACGTCATCAGTGACGTCACTGATGACATCATCGGCATCGTCACGTGACCCCCAAGGTCACGTGACCCCCACAGGTCACCTCACCCCCCAGTACCCTTCCCTCCTCCTCCTCAAGAGCTGCGCTCTAATTCGGTGTTACAGGGAGTTGTAAACGGCTTTCACTTTTTTTTCTGAGGTACAGCAGTTACTAATTTTGTTCATTAAATTATGAGGGACTGACTTCCCACTGTATAAGCATCCTTATAACTGAAGTGACTTCGTGTAATAACTCTTGCCATTTAGTAGTGAGCATGTTTGTATAGTCGTTATTTGTAGTGCAATATTTTTTGAGCGTGACTTGTTAAGGGTGTTTTTGATTCTTCATTTGCTACTGAACTGTATGCGCATGCCCCTAAAAAACGCTAGCCGCATTTGCTTGTTCCTTCATCCTTCTGGTTTGTATAGCAGTGACCCGTCACTCGTATAAGACTCGTCTGCAACTGGCTTCAGCAATTTTCGGTCTATCTGTGTTAATAAATTGTGGCAGATATGAGCATACACTGCATTGACTTTGTTTTTGACATATTTAGACCTTTCTTGTTCCTGGAATTTTCGTTTGTTTTACTGTTTTCGAGTTAGTGCGTCACTAATAAAGAAGTTAGTTGTCTATGCCCTACTGTAAATAACAGAAATAATAGTAAATATACAGCTTGTCTCTGTATCCTATTATAACAATTTATGAGTGTCTATTTTATTGGTCTATTTTTAACATGTTTACGCTTTTGCCTCTCCACAGCATTATTTCAAAAGAATGAATATACGTTTTCTTCAGGTATACAATAGTATATTCATTACTAGCATGGCAAAATAAAATTTGAGCAGACGAGAGCCATATCCAGAAACCGAAACTAATATATTTTTATTGAAATTTTGAGTATATCTGAGTGGGCACTGTTCACAAAAGGTATCAAACTGAAACCGGTCTTATCAAGTGAGAACGAACACTTTACGTGTGGCCGCGTTGTAGGACTCGAAGCTATACTGATTAGCAAGCACTCCCAGTTTTCTCCGTTGGCTTCACATGAACTTCTCAAAGGAAAAAATTAATAATTAATAGACCGGCAATAGAAAGCGCTGACGCTTTACTCTGTTTACAGAAAATGTCAAGAAAGCTATACGCGATTTACGATAGAAAAGGTTACAATCGATCAAACTCGAGGGTTTTATCAACATAACTGCCGCCCGTCGCCTGCGACCGCGCGCGCGCATTTAGCGATGATACGTGGCGGCGCCTGGCGGATTTCGCTGTCCCCAGCCGTGGTCACGTGGTATTTTTGGGTACACACGCTCCCGTAGAGAGGGGAGAGCTGAGCTGGTCGCCCCTTTATAGAGTGGAGTAGTGTATTATGATACACTATGGAACCAGAAGTAAACAAGGGGGCTGACC